GGCTGCATGTTTGGTTTAGCCTTTAAGAAATGCGAGCGTGGATCAGAGAGACGATCGACCTTCGTCCTTCTGGTTGACGTTGACTTTGAGGTCGGTCGTCCTCAGAGATTTTCCCTCAGCCTGTGGAGACTTTCTAACAGCTGTAAAGGAGTTTGGTGCAGACGGGTCTAAGTGTTGTTGAGTTTACGTGTCTCTGTATGTGACACTGACAGAAAGAACAGAAAGAACACTACAGTGGCCTCTCTGTACTTCACATCTCAAACTGAATCCATCCACACAGCTCAAAGTTTAGAAACTCAAAAGATATCAGTTAAACGAGCTGTTTGATGTCTGCAGGTTACATAACGCTTTCTTCTTGCCTTCCTCCTCTCCTCCTCTCCTCCTCAGGCTCCTCAGATGTATCAGTACACCATGTCAGCTGTGAACCAGGGCAAATACCCCAGAGCCAAAGGTACCCAGTGTTATTACTGACTGTAGGAGGGTTCAGATACTCTAATGCCCCCCAGCAGTGACAGACTGTGTTCTGCTGTTTTAGGCCCGGTGGTGGGACAGCGTCCGGACCATCACCCGTCCTCAGCGTCCCCGATGATGTCAGCTGCAGCCTCGGCAGCAGGCCCCCCGCTGGTGGCGTCCCCGTACCCCCAGTCCTACCTGCAGTACGGTCAGGTGATCCAGGCCATGCCCCCCCACTACCACGGACAGGTACCGAGGCAGAACACTGTCACTGTGGATTTAAAGGTCCAATAAATTAATAAATCTACACACAATGAAAACACTGAGACATGAAACCTGGGGAATGTTTAAAGGACTTATATTTTATAATATTTTATGATATATTATTATTATATATAATAATAATAATATATTATTATATAATAATAATATATTATTATATATTATATATTATTATATATAATAATATATTATTATATTTTATTATATTTTATTATATATTATAATATATTATTATATATAATAATATATTATTATATATTATATATTATTATATATTATTATATATTATAATATATTATTATATATTATTATATTTTATTATATATTATAATATATTATTATATTATATTATAATATATTATTATATTTTATTATATTTTATTATATATTATAATATATTATTATATATTATAATATTTGACTTTAGTACGTTCATCTTACACTTTCTTGTTATTTGTGTGTCACATGTCAGGACACTTCAACCAGAGGATCCTGCTCCGTTTCTAATCTAAATAGACGTAATCTGATGTTTATTATCTGATCCTCTCACGACCCCTCAGATTTATCTGGTGGCCCTTTGGAGGGCCCCCACCCCTCAGGTTGGGAACCAGTGGACTGAACTGTATATAAAGGAGCTCCAACAGTAAAATGCTAACACCGATAATAATGATGCGATAAACAAAAGTATTCTAAGTAAAACTGATATTCTTAAGTACATTTTCCTGATTCGTACTCCCTCCTCTCATCATCTTCATCATAATACTAAAGCAAAGAGTTATTTATAATAATGAAAGTAACAGTAAGATCAATTAAAAGTAAAATAGATTTGGCTCTGGCAGTGTCTTAAAGTAAATATATTTATATTTCTGTATAATAAAGTTTCTTGTATCCTCCTCTTCCTCATATCAAACAGATTCATGATCAAGGTGACTTTATTAGATCTGTCAGTGTGGTTTCAGTATTTTCACTGAAGTAAAGGATTTCTACTGTAGAAACGCTGTGTGTAATTTTAAAGAGGATGTTAATGTTACTGTGCAGAGCTCCAAACCAACTCATTCACCACCTTCACAAATCTCTCCGAGCTGATCGCTAACGTCTCTGTACAGCCGCCGCCCACAGAGAGTCTGCAGACACGTTATCTCAGATAATAACTGATCAATCAGTGTGATCAGCAGAACAAACACGGTGGTTCAACATGAGAGGAACGCATTCTAAAGTAACACACACATTAATGTCATTAATGTCTGCAGCTTTAACACGTTCATTTCCACTCCACACATACAAATACTGTTTTATTCATGTTATTGGACGTGTGGACACACTGACTGTCTCAGTGATCATTGGCTCTTTAATCCTGCTGATGTTAAACTGAGCTCAACAGAAACAGATGGAAACACACAGAGTGGAGGAACAAGAAAGAAACAGTGAATGTACATCAGCTCAGCCAGTTCTTTATTCATCGCGTTATTATTCTGTAGATTTAAAGGGTTATTTTATCTAATGACCTTTTTATTGGTGCAGATGCAGACAACAGTACTGATCTACACTAAGTACTCAGAAACATCATATAATGTACCCTGCTACCCCCCCGAGTCAGAAACTGTTGTATAAACTGTTCAGTGTGTCTTTAAATGTTATAAATGAACTGAATGAGTGGAAAGAGTTTGAAGGACGACGTCAGACTGTTTGTTTGTGACGACGTTAAACTGAAGCTGTGAGACGTTTTTGATAATAATCTCTCTTCTGTCTCGTGACCTCCAGGCAGTTTACTCGATGCTGCAGGGGGGCGCCAGGATGCTGACGTCCGGGGCTCCTCAGCAGATGGGTCCTCCTGGCCACCAGTACCACGGCCAGGCTGAGGGCCAGCCGGGGCCCCAGCAGGCCATGTATGGTAAGAAGAATTAAAGCTCAGTCCATTAATTATAGATACTGTCAGTATCTGTGATGGAAAGCAGACAGCAACAGGAATAAACGTTGGTTGGATTCTCTGAGACTCTTACAACCTTTGATGACTGAGAAGTTGCTAAATTCTCTCTTTTCTGTCTTCAGCTCAGTCGTTTTCTCACCACTCGGGCCCCATGCATCATCCTCAGCCCTCCAGCACCCCCACTGGGAATCAGCCCCCACCCCAGCACACAGCGCCCAGTCCAGGACACACTCAGGTGGGACTGCTGACGTTAATGGATCACAAATGTGAAGTTAACCGGCTGCAAATATCATTTAACATCATAAATCTTTTATTTATAATTTCTTGGTCAGAATTGAACAAAACATACAAAAGAATTCCTCTAATGTTTAATCCTTAACATAAAAACCAACAGTGGTTCTGTGGTAAAAACCTTTTTAGAGCTACATTTAGACTGGGATTGAATAAAACCATGTTTCTATCTGTTCGTCCTGTTCGTTAATCAATGGATGGTTTGTGTTTGTGTTCAGTCGAGTCAGGCCGGTCCTCAGCCTCAGTCCATGTTCCACTCTGGAGGTTTGTCTGCTCCCACTCCTCCGAACCTGCAGCCGGGCCACAGCTCCCCGCAGGCCACCTACACCATGCAGGGGTACAGCCTCCCCACCCACCAGCCGCTGCCCCACGGCTTCCCCTCCATCGGCCAGCTCACACAGGTGAACAGATGTGGCACTGGAGCACCGGCACGCCAGACTCCATTAACAAAACCACCGATTTTACCAAGCAGATGATTTCTGTTAGTCTCTCCAACAATCCCACTCTGGTTTGGTGGAAATAAATCCTTAAGTCATCGACATATTCTTCGTGTTTGTAGCCACGAAAACGTCTTCTGCTCGTGTTCATGTGGACTTCAGTGTGGACGTAGTCTCAGTCTCTCGTTTGTCCTCCGCAGGCTCACATGTCGGGACCTCACCACTCTGCCGGTCACGGACTGCCGCCCGTCATGCTGCACTACGTCTCCCCTCAGCAGGCCGGCGGATCCAACCCCCAGCAGGGGGCGCCACAACACTTCTACATCGGACCCCCACAAGGTAAAACCGGCTCTGGTCCCGTGAGCCCCCATAAAGCCAATAAAACCTAATCTTATGTGAAGAATAGATTTTAAAGAAACATTTTGTGTCTTCCAGCTGTTCAGGTCCAGGCTCACCCCTCCCAGCAGCTGTCCTTCCACCCGTCTGCAAACTGAACTCGTCACAGCTGGACTCAGGAGCGAGGAAGACGAGCCCCCCCACCCCGACTCAAACAACTTGTAACATTCCCACCTCCTGACACCAGACTAACACGTCCTCCTTTTTACCCACATCTTTAGACAGAAACGGCTAACACGGTAACGTTTCTGGATTTAAAAATGTAAATACAAACTGTTTTCACACCTGAACACGAAGCTGGACTGACGACGATGACTGGTGGAAAACTTTTGGACCGACGACAGTGGAAACAGTTTTTCTCCCCGTCCCACCTCTGTCCTTTTCCAGACAAAACCAGTTCATTAATAATAAAACCACTGAAAACAAACAACAAACGCGTCTGGATTCAATTCAGAATTTCAAAGAAAATAACCTCCGGTACGTCTACAGAACGATACAGAACTCTAAAATCTCTCAGGTTGATTTCTCGCTTTAATGAATGAGTGGAAGTTGACGACTGCCTGGACGGTAGAAATTCACTTTCTTTGCGAGAGTAAGATGAAAAGATGAGCTGGAGTTAGTGGTTAGCTTAGCTTAGCATAAAGACTGGAAGCAGGGGGAAACAGCTAGCCTGGCGCAGTCTGAAGAGAATAAAATCCACCTACCAGCGTCTCTAAAGCTCGCTGGTTAACGTGTTCTACATAATGCTCAAAAGCACCGCGGCCCGAGAGGCGTCTCTCCGCTCTGCGTAGAATCCAGCTGGTCCACACCAGACACACAAACAACAAAGAGAATCTGGTCAATTTTCCAAATACAATAGCAAGTGCAGACTCTGGGTCAACATTGTGGCATCAGAGAGGAAGTCAGTCACCGTTTTATTTCCTTTTTAAGGACAAAATAAGTAAACCACGTCGGGCAGGAAACCGCGCCATAAAGCCGTGGCTCGGTGGTCGAGTGAGGAGAACCGCCAGGTGGAGTGGGAACCCTGAGGAACTCAACACAGTGGCTGAAACCAGCGTTTTGGTGGAGCGATTAGCAGAGCCACGCAGACGGTGCAAGTATAAACGCTCATAACGGCGTAGGTCACTTAATCTACAGCCAACGTACAACTATGAATCAGAATAAAAGGTCTATTTTCATTCCAGATAAAAAAAAAGTGTAGAGAGCAGCAGCTGAGTAACAGATGGTCAACACAGGAAACTGCTGATTATATAACTGATTATTGTGCTTCTGTAGGAAGTCCTGAGTTGCGTACAGTTTATACATATCTGCTCCTCAATCAAAGGTCTGACTCAACTATCACACAACAGCAGGTTTAACACCTCGACACGCTTTAAAGGAAGTTACTGTGAGAAATGAATCCTAGTAGAGTTCAACATTTTGTTACATTTTAATTGAATTGTAGTTAAAGAAACAAAAACATTTCTAGTTCACACAAGTGGATTACAGATCCAGAGACAACAGTAACCACGGTAACAACACATAAATACAGTAGAAAAAAAAACAATTTGTGAATTAAAGACATTCTCAGGAGTTGTCAGTAAAATCGAAGTAAAGCTCAAACATGGAAACGCCTCTGGTGATGAGGCGCTGTGGAGGAAAGGGTTACCAGTGAAGACATTAACAGCCGGTAAAACAGAAAAAACTACAGAAGAATCTGAACCAACGAGGGACTTTTGGTGACATTTTCTGAAGCCTGACAGGAGAATGAAGTGTCGACCGCTCGCCTGCCGACAACCGTTCGATTATTCTGGATTTTAATTTAGTGTTCCCCGAGTTTCAGGTTCAGTCTGTCTGGGTGCTCACAGTGATTCTATCCATCAGTAATTATGTTCAGAGGTCAAATTTACAAAAAAAACATTAAAGAAAACCTAAATGTGTGCAGTAGAAATTATTTTCTACTTTGAATGGATTGAGATCTGATGTTAGCATTTAGCTCATGTAGCAGAACTGAACAGTTAGTCGTAGAAAGACGGTTGTTGTCTATAAAATGAAAACTACGGAAGCCGAGAACAGGCGCGTTAGCAGGTTTTTTTTTATTCCGTTATCTGCAGATCACGAATTAATTATTTTGTTTTCTTGGAAAACGAGCTTTGTTTTCTCAAAATAAGTTAATTTATCTTGAGAAAACAAAAGCCTGTTCACATAAACAGCTGTGCAATTATTTCAATAATGTCGTTATCTCAAGATTTAAAGTAAATTATTTGGTTTTCTTGAGAAAACAATGAGCTAATTCCTCAAACCGACGTGAATGCAATTATTTTGTTTAATTCTCGATTTATTTTTATCTCAAGATATGACGTTAATTGATCTGGAGAAAGCAAAAGGCTGAGAGGCTGTGCTCTGAAGAACGCTTCTTCTTCAATAAGAAGTTATTTATCTCGGTATCAAGTAAACAAAAAGGCAGATTCCTCACACGGATGCAGCTGCAATTGTTGTTATCTTGAATCACATCTCAATAATTTGTTCAAAGAAAACAAAAGGCAGATTCCCCGAACAGACGGGCTTGCTATTACGTTATCTCAAGATCACAAGTTAATTGTTTCGTTATCTAAAGAAATTGAGCTTTGTTATCTTGAGATAAAACATTAATTTATCTGAATAAAACAACTTGTCTTCTCAAGATAGCGGGATTATTTATTAATAAAAAATTACTTTTGTTTTGTGTCCAACGGGTTGATCATTTTATATAACAGGTTATTTTCTGTACGTGAGATTGGGAATGTATCTTCATGTTCTTAATTTCACTTGAGTTATAAAACAGAAACATGCACACACAAGGCTTTTTAAATCTGTTTTCTGAATCTGGGCCCTGCTGGATTGTTTTTAGATCACTTTAAGAAACCTGATAAACCTAAAACCGTAACAACACAGATCAGAAATCAGACAAACTGCCTCAGCTGAACCTTCAGAAACAAAGAGTTCCTGTTCTCCGCCCAGAGTCGTTCTTCATTCTCAGTTTCTTTTCTTAGTCGTTCAGCTCTTTTAAATTAACGCCGTCGCAGGTTTAAAGGTGGAGGCAGAGAGATGTAGATGGCAGTTGAATAGCTCACTGTGGTCAGGCAGTCAGAGGTCAGATAGCCTGCGTCGTTTCGCTCACGTTGACGTAGTTCCCCTCATCATCATCGTCGTCATCGTCATCATCGTCGTCTTCGTCATCGCTGTCGCTTTGGGCCGACAATTCTGGTGTTGATACTGATGGAAAACATGAAATTACACATCATAGTCCAAAATGTAAAACTGCAACTAACGAGTATTTATTATTGATTATTCTGATGAATATATAAAACAGTATTTTAATACAGTAATACTGTATTATGTTGCAGACTGATCCTACAATCTGAAAACATATAATATAAAAACAATATATAATATCAAATATTGTGAAGAAACATAAAGGTTATATATCAGCAAACAGTTATTTCAGCTGAAAGCTACAGTGTCACATGATGTACGATGTTTACGATGTTTTGATGATCTGCGAGGTAAAATGCGTGTTTTTGTCTATGGAGTCTGGTGGACCGTAGCGCCCATTGTTTTGGTCTGAGATGCTGGTGCTCTAGCGTCACATCTAGTGGCAAGTGAATTTTGTATATAACCTTTAATATAAAATAATATAACTGATAATATATATATATTTAAGTTATGGTTCCTGTCATACAAATGAGCAGTGAGTCATTCTTTGTTTGGATTTAAAAATACAGTTCAGGAAACTTGTTTGGCGACAGACTGAATATTTTTTCATCCAGATGGAAAGAAAACACTTTGATGATCCTGGAAATGTCTTCAGAAGCTGTAACAGGGAATTCATGAGAGGAAGAACATCACGTGATCTGAATACTGAACGTCCAACTCACTTGAAAGACCCAGCGGATCCACATTCAGGTACTCTCTGTCCTCTGAGGAGACACGGAGAAGGACACACAGTTACTGTGGTGCTTCATGGGAATTCATCTATAGTTAAACTGTACAAACAATGGAAATGAACTGAAGTTCACACAGAACAGATCGGCTCACCTTTCTTCTCTGGGACGTTCTCATAATCGTGTAGAACGTCTGTGGATGGAAACAAACAGCCGATCAGTTCACTGAACATTGTTTATGTTCATCTATCAAATCAGCTGATCCTCAGTGATGTTTCATAATATAACAGGAAGTATTAAAAAGATAAAAACAGGACTTCTTCTTCTTGTTTCATTTATAACAAAACATAATTTATCTAACTAACTCTCCATATGTTTTTTATGCATAAATCTGAAGTTGTAAAGCTGTCAGATAATCATAGTAACGTACCTGAACTGGGCGTCGAGGCTCGGCTCTGATTCTGAGTCTCACCTTCGGGCAACACGATTCTGCAGAAACCAGAGAAGAAGAGACGATTAGACTCCGACTTACTGCTGAAGCCTTAAAGAAGTGAAGAAAAACCACCAAACCTACATGTATCCGGGGTCTTCTGGGTCACTCTCTGCGTTTATGTAATGTCCTAAAGAAAACAAAATGTCAGCTCGACATCATCCAACATACTGACATCACTCTGACATCACTCTATCATCAGGCAATGAAACTTAAAATAGGCTGAATTATTTCTCTGACACTAGAGTTCAGTTTGGACAAGGACAGAGCAGAGACACTGTTGTCCAAAGTCCTGACAACCAAGTCTCAACGAAGTCTGCTTCGTAATCATTCTGGTGTCGCGCAGTGTGGTTCCACTCTTTGGTCCTGCAATAAATTACAAAGTCGAGACCAACAAATAAACGTGATCTTACCATCTCCTGGATTTTCATAACTTGGAATACTCTCTGTAGGATAGAAAGAGTCATATTAAGATTTGACAGTTACGGCATCAAAGTGTATGAACCAACTCTAACGTCAGAGATTAACTGCAGGAAGGTACATCTCACTGGTAAACATGAAATAAAGACTAACATTACTTAACAAATGTGAATAAAGCCTGAAGAGGTCAACATCACACTGGAAACAGACATCATGAAGAAAAGCAGGATCTCACCATTTTCTGTCGGGGTGAAGGATGTGTGTCTCCGTTGAGTTCCAGGAACAACTAAAGGTGAGCTGTGTGGGAAAAGGAAAAAAAAACATCAGACAGCAAAGTGTTGAACCCGAGGAACAAAGTTTCTGTCCCTTGACATTAGATGTCCTCTGTTGTCCCAGCTCAGTATCTTAAAAACCATCAAGTCCACGTGTCTCTACATAGGTCTAAGAGGTCAAACTGTTGGGGCATAGGACTGGTGTGAGGGTACACCTAACAGTTCCAGCTCAATCACTGTGAGACAAGAACCAGCAGGACTCTTCCAGAAGGCACTTTATATGCAATAAGCCAATACTATCCAATCTTTATCTATGTTTAGTATTTATGTATTGTTTACAGTGCGCTTTGGTACTTATATAGGTACTGATGTGGCCTGGGCAGGTGAACCAGGTGTGTTTCATAATAAAAAGAAAAACTCACAAAGGTGACAGCAGGTGGGAGGAAGAGTGACTGAGGTTCAGGTCAAGGTTTGGCTGGGCTGTAAATCAACAGAGAGAAAGTCACCTTCATCATCGTCATTAAAAATAAGAGCAATGTAAATGTTAACATCATCAGCATAGAGTCGTAATCACCATCATGAAATATGAGACACTGACATGGTATTCTACATCATACTGTTACTATTGTGACCTTATCGTGACATTGAATGTAATTTGGGTTATTTTCTGCATAATTACAATTAACCCTTCCTAAGTCCCGCCCCTTTTTGCTCTTAGATATGCTATATGCTAGGCTAATCTATTATGACAAAAACATAAAAGAGATGGTTAAAAATAAAAGAGACATATATTTAGTCACATCTTAAGTTGTTAGCAAAATGTTAGGTAACTAACAATTGATGTAAATTGGCATGTTAGTTAGGTAACATTTTATACTAACATTAGCTAACTTAAAACGTGACTATATATATATGTCACTTTTATCTTTTAACCATCTTTGAAATGTGGTTTTCTTTTCAACAGAGATTAGCATAGCATATAGCATATCTAAGTACAGGAAAGGAGAAAGTTGACCGAGGCTTGCTTAACTCTTAGGAGAATAGGAGAAACTAGCAAAAAGGGGTGGGGCTTAGGAAGGGTCCATTTATTCTCTGATTAATATCCTTCACTTCCCAGTCCTTGTTAAGCACATTAAAATGTTCGAATGTTCAAATTAGCAAACTGTTCAGGTCATGTATCTCTAACTCTTGAATAAGTCATCAAATATAAACCATACATCTCTAAATATAGTCCCTTATATTTTATATCATTATGACACAATATATGAATAGTTTTTTCTATTCTTCAGGTATTATTTATTATTAAAATCATTGTTTCAGTTTAGTGTTGCTGTTTTGTGTATTTTTTATCTTTTTGTATTAAAATAAAATAAATTGGAAGTCAGTCTTTGAACCGACCAGCTGCTTCCTGTTTCATCGGTTTCACAGAAATTAAAAACCTCTTTCAACCATTTCAGACTTACATGGATGGATAACTCTGAATTGATTGGATCTGATTGAAAGAAAGAAAAGAGACATTAGACAAATCTTACTCATTATTTCATATAAATCAATATAAACAATAAAAATAAAATCTTTCACCCATGAAGACCAGAAGAAAAGACTTACGGCATGTACTCCTCTGTAGAATTTCCTTGCCTGATGGAGACTGGTGGGTGGAAACAGAAACATACAAATAACTCAAATGTAATCATACATCATCTATCAACAGCTAAACCAGAAATCAAAGTGTAAATAGTGTTGACCATCAGCAGTGTGAAAACTTAGTTGTAAGCCTGTTTAACCACAGGATGTCATTTATAGGTCAGGTCATTATGAGTGCGTGCACCAGCTGTTAACCACATGATGGTGCAGTGTGAAGAGAGCCAGCGACCCACCCAGCGGGCCTTTGTTCCTGCAGTGCAGGCAGACGACAGCCAGGAGGACCATGGAGACGAAGACGGCGGCCGCCAAAACCAAGAGGAGCAAGGCCATGTTTCATCTGAGGAGGACAGGGGACAACATGAGGCAGTCAGTCTTCAAATAAAACTGGTCCAGACTGAAATATCTCAACTACTATTGGATGCAAAGTGATGACATTCATGTTCCTCTCAGGATGAATTGACCCTTTCTAAGTCCCGCCCTTTTTTGCTCTGTGCTCCAATAACAGTTGAACAAGCCTCGGTCAGAACCTCGGTCGACTTCCTCCTTTCCTGTACTTATACATGCTATATGCTAGGCTAATCTATGTTGATGTATGTATGTTGACAACCACATTTTGAAGATGGTTAAAAAATAAAAGCAACATATATGTATCGTTAGCTAGCTAGTTAACTAGTTACTTAGCATTTTGCTACAGAACAAAACACTCGCTAACTAGCTACATCATCATTAGTTAGCCAGTTAGCTGACATTTTCCTAACATAAGGTAATAAAGTGACTATCTTTTAACCATCTTCAAAATGTGGTTGTCTTTTTAACCTAGATTAGTTTAGCACATTAGCATATCTAAGAGCAAAAAAGGGGCGGGACTTAGGAAAGGTCAATTATAATTGTGTAGAGCATAACCTGAGTTACATTCAATGTCACTATGATGCCACAATAGTAACAGTTTGATGTAGAAGACCATGTCAGTGTCAACAACAACTCTGATGCTGATGATGTTGACATTTACATTCAACCACAAAACTCATCACAAATATATAAAACAAGACTCAGGAATCTCCTAAAACAACAGGTGGAAATGCATTTATAGGAACTGTTTTCAGCGGCGGAAGATTACACATTTGGTGCTTTAGTGAGTACTAAAGGAAACAACCCCAAACACTGATGAAGGCTGAAAATATTTGGTGAATAAAGGTGTTGGTGTCATATTAGCATTTGAGTCGGGAGGCGGATCGTGTAAACAATACAGATACTGTATGTATCTGACGGATGTAGTTTCTAATAACTTTACGATTGCAGATTAAGGTTTTGTTTGCTGAACAGATCATAAAATATGGCCTGCGGGTTGAGGCTGAATATGAAGCAGGAAGTGTCTCATTAACTCTCACATATGTTGTGGTTGAATAATGGTTTATAGAAAGTCATGAGACTCAGCTCACAGCACAGACAATATCTAATCTAATATCTATAACCTGAATATATTTGAATGATAAATATCTGTATCTGTGGAGTGTTTCTGGAAACTTCTACCAATGATCACTTTTAAGAATATATGTCAAATTTCCACATAACTTACAACCTAAGTGAAGTAACAGTGGCTCATTAAACAATGTATAAACTCTAGAGCTATGTTCTATATGTAGTTGATTCAACAATAATCAATAATCAGAAGCATAAAATTCACTTTTTATCCAGTTTGAAGCGACATGTTTACCATCCACTGTTTAGATCTTGATGCTTTTAAACTCAAACTAACACTAGATTTGAAGCGGATGAAGGATTTTAGTCATCAGACGTCTGGATCTTAAGTTATCTGTTTGTTTTGGAGAGGAGGAGACCTCCCTAAACCTAACCCGCTCTTCTCACATTTAAATCGCAGGTAAATGTGAGATCTGCATCTTCACAACCAGCAACGAGGAAATGAGTTTGGTGACGTATGACTCAAAAATCAGGAAACTACAACGATTGGTCAAATTTGCGGAGAAGTTGCGTTGATTGAACAAAAATGAGAGATCGCACAGAATTCACAGGGACGAGTTGAATTTGCGATCACAACGACAAAAATAACGCAACCAGGAGGATCTGACTGAAGGAATCCTAATCGGGAGAACCTGACTGTAATGACGACAACCCATGATCCCACGTCGCTTCACTCTTCCTCTTTTATTATTCAGATGTGTGTGAGTTAGTGGCAGAAAGTCCACACTGTATGTTTAAGCTCAAATTTATTATCCTGATAATTTATAACTAAACATGAACAAGTTCTTTTCTAAGAAGAATCTTAATTTGTAAAGGGACTAAAGCTGTTGTTATAAACTGGTACCTCAAATGTCTTTTTGAAGAGGAGGAAGCCATGTTTTAAAAATGAAACCACATGCTCTATTTACTTAAATATCTGGTGGTTTTTACTTTCCTGAGGCATCAGAACATAATCTTTCTCCTGATTGCAGAGGTGCGTCACACAGGAAGGAAAAGCATTTCACACGTGCTTTCGACTGACTGGTACAGCTCGTGTTCTTTCCTCTGCCAACCTGAACTCTCCACTGAACCAACAGGCTCCAAACACTGGAAACACTCTTCACAGAAAGTACCTGCAACCCCCTGCCATGGTTTGTGAATGTGGAAACCTCCAGAGAAACCCCCCCACACAACCTCAGCTCCCCTCTCCTCCTCAACCCGACTTCTACAGCTTCTAATATTTCAACTAAGATTAAAATCAGCTCCTCACGCAGCGCTGCAGAGCCAAAGGCGGCCATCTTGTGAGCTGTTGCTCCGTCTTTAAGCTCATTTTGTGTTTGTTTGTTTTTTCCACAAAACCCCCTGAAAGGTTTTATTAAATGATTAAATGCAGCCGGCCAATAGAGATTTGGAAAAGGAAGTGTGACAGGAAAAGACAGATAAGGAGGTTCAATATCAGACGTTAATGACGCTGCATCTTGTTTTAGATCGTGTTCAGTGAAGAACTGTGATGTGTTCTCAACCAGAGGGACGGATGTGTTATATATTAATAACTTTCATCCGAGTGTTTAATTAGGTTTTCTTCACAAAAAACGCTTTAATACAGATGATTTAAAAAGTACCAACACCAGACCTATATTCAAAATCCTTACATATTAACTAACTATTTATTTATAACTATTTCTATATAATTATTATTTATTCTGCCTGCCTCCGGCTCAGATTTGGTAGACTGCATAATTAAAACTGTCCATAGTCTCTGTGACGTCCCCCCACAGGTTTCTGAAGAGCCAATGTTAAGCTCAATGTGGTCGACTCTGGCCGTCCTGACTTTTGTGGAGCTGAATGAAACCTGGTAATTTAAAGAGGTGAGTTATATAAAAACTCACCCTCCGTACACTCGTCATAAACGTGGAAATTATCTCTAGAGACCAAAAGGCTGTAAACATGTTTATTTCTGGACATTTTAATATAAGGCCTTATGGAGACTGACTCACTGCCGGAGCCAGCCTCTTTCTAATCAATGACATTAGGTGGTACAAACAGTACCGCTTCTGTCCACAGGGGCCGCCAAAATCAACACAAAATGAGAAAAAGTTCCTTGTTGCTGCTTTAAGTAAAAGTTATCAGTGAAAGTGGACATGAAACGAGTATGTTTGTTGCACGTAGTGCCAAAACATATTAGAAAAACCACCTTGACTAAAGTCTGATTTTAAAAAGTAGTTAAGACATTTATTTTTGTAATTTCAACCTAGTGAACGAGCTGCCATTTTGGAGAGACGTCATTGCCTACGTAGCGGATTGGGTTGGTTCGGCGTGCGGGTTGTATCAAAAATACGCACTGTGCAGAAAACTGGGCCTTGTTCTATCATATTAATGGATGGTTAATAACGACAACATCTGTAATAATGCATCACATTTTATAAGATCCTCACATATTTTAAAGTTTCATTTATAAAGTTTAAGTAACTCCAGCTGTCAGATAAATGGAGTAAACTTGAATAGAAAGTACAAAGTAGCATAAAATGGAAACAATTACCTAGAATCTATTCTGCAGTAAGACACTACTTGAGTTGCAAGTTCAGTCTTCATCTTTGTGATTTCAGTTTTAAAACCCCCACAGTTGTCTCTAGAAACCTCAACGTGACGACACAACTCCAGGAAGTCACTGCTTCCCGACAAGACATAGTCCTGCTCATAGAAAAACCCCCAAAAACCGTCGGTACATTTCTGTTTTTGTCCGGATGAAACAAACAAGACATAACAAGTTGAAGTGAGCACTGGACGGAGCAAGGCTAGCTGTTTCCCTCTGTTGCCAAGCTAAGTTAAGCTAACCGGCTGTAGCTTCATATATACTGTACAAAACTCCATCTGACCTCCGCCTCGTGTCTAAAACACCATCATAGCAGGTTTGGATGAAGAAAAATGTTTCAACATGTTAAATTTAAGACTTTCTAAGATCTTTTTAAGACCATTATGAATCCTATTTAATGGAGGATAAGAAGGAAAATCCGCATTGATTCCATGTTGGCTTTGTTTAATAGTTACAGATCAATACAGACTGCTCCTGAAAGCGAGACTTAAAAAATGCAACTTTAAGTAACAACGTTAATCCAATATTAAAACCTGTCGAAATCATATTTGAATCACTTACAAGGAACTTTTTCTCATTTTGTGTTGATTCTGGCGCCCCCTGTGGACGAAAGCGGTAATGTTTCTACCGCCTCGTTTCTTTGATTTCAAGTAGTGATTTCAATAACTATATAAAATGTCTCTGATGGTTTTGTTCATTATATGTCATATAGAGGAATCAAAAGCCAATGAAAAACTTATCGTTTGTGACATTTTACAACCTGAAATTTAGATTATTGGATTTTTATGACCCCGAGGACATCCTAATCACATTTGATGGCGTTTTAAAAACAAAAGTGAACAGTTTGAACATTATCAGAATCAATCTTCATCAGAATATAAACAATTACTTTTCCTTGTCTTGGGATTTTTCTCCCGGTTGGATCAGAGTTACTCAGAGATGCACAAAATTAAAATTGTTGCCCACCGGACGCTGCAGAGGTCACAGGTCGGGTAAAAATGGCTTTTGCTGTGTAAAATAATTCAGCACTGGTTTGGCTCCTCCATTAGCCCTCAGAGTGAAACCTGTACCGATCCACTTCCTGTCTTCCATGTGCATGCTGGGAAGAAACTTCCTAAAAATCAAACGAATATAAAACGACAGAAAACTCACCGACACCTGTCGACAAGCGGCGACTGCAGAGATGGTTGTGTGGCGGCGAGGAGGGTGGAGGATTGGTGAAGTTTTCGGGGCCTGCGGCTGGTCTCGTGTCCCCCCGCGGTATCTGGTCCACATCAGGCGACTACTATAACCAATCTTCCATTTCTGAAGACTTCTTTTCTGTCTTTCTCCGTCTTCTCTTCTTTCTTTCGGTCGACCTCGTGTGTCTCTCCTCCCCGATGATCTGATCTGGTGTCAGATCTGCACCTTCAGCAAACTACTTGGCTCTTCCTCCCTCCCTCTTTGTCACCGACTCCCTCACTCCTCTGTCATCACTGCACCCAATCACCTTGGGTTTGGTTTCACCGCCTGCCACAGACCCTCTGATCTCAGCGTTTCCTACCAGGAAGGTGACGGTCGAGCATCAATCGGGTCACGACTGTCCGAAAGACGGAGCGGCAGCCTCTGAAACTTTAGAAAACACACAACAATCAATGACCTGATCAATGGCCCGGACCTTGAGATCACAGTTACAGAGTGTGAGAGTGAGTGTGACCAACCACTGCAGGTTGACTCACCAACAAACCAACAAGCAGAAAGGTTCACAGCTCTCTGAGTGTGTGTGGGCTGATCAAACTAGCCTCTCTCAACACCTCAGCTGCAAACTGCAAACTGGCGGTGGAAATTGGAAGAGGGGCCTGCAGCTCAGAACAGCAAAATGTCAAAAAAACAAAAAAAAAAGGGTTTCACACAAACACCTCGAGCCAATCAGGAGACGTTAACTGTGACACCTCAGAGTGTCGCCGGGTGTTAAAAAGCTGCAGCGCTGTGTGCAACCGTCTCAACATCCTCCCACCTACAAACAGGAAACCACACCGAGCGAAGGAAGCCGAGTCCTCTCCTCTTTGCTCCTCTCCTGTCCTCGCTCGGCCTCTTTTCTCCTCCTGTCGAGAGGAGCAGCAGAAGAGAGGAAAGAGAGGAGAAACCCCCAAATGAATGAGGGAGGAGAGAGGGGAACACCGGCTGTGTTTGGGGCTGTTTTCTGCCCAGTTGAGCTGCTTGTTACTTGGTGGTGCAGGTACAAATGTTTAGTTAGTCCACAATCTGATCCCAGTGAGCTCAGCTGCCAAACTTTTACACTTTATATAATTAAAAACACACAATGTGCCTTTATGTGAGCAGTGATGGAAACAGTGTACAGCTCCTTTATTCAGATAACAATGTGGAAACACTGTGGCTGCAAGTGCCAGAAAGGTTTTGCTCTCTGTGGGTTTTCAAACTGTATTTTTTGGTTTTACAAGAGAAAAGACTCGAAGGACGAGGACTGACTGGTTGTTTTTGGTAAATGTGCGTCTGGTTAACCGCCCCTCCTACGTTAAAGAGCGGCACAAAGCGGAGCTTTACTATGAAAACCATCCACAACCGTCACCCACGCAGACCCACACAGTGAATCAGTCATAATGCATTATAAGCACATTCATGAGACATTATAATGCATTGAAATGACTTTAATATACTTGAACAAGGTTTATAAAGTATTATAAGTGGTCCTCACGTATTATAAGTTTAGCATTCATAACATTGTCCTCAGTCACACAGCACATTAGAACCACCATAACTTTATAAAGTCACAGAAAGAACATGTTAGAAATGTTTCATTAAGTTTCTGGAATTGAATAATGTCTCAGAAACATCAATAATACGCTATAACATGACTGTGAGCTTTAAAGCTCCAGTGGAAATCATTTAGGATCTATTACTGTAATATAATATCTATAGGTATGTTTTCATTAGTTTATAATCAGCTGTAAATAAGAATCATTGTGTTTTTATCCACCATGTTACAGTATAATAAAGTATATATCTTCTTCAGTAGCCCAGATAACTGGATCTCGATGGGACCTTTTGTGTTTTTTGCTCATTCCCAGGTTGTCAAATACAGACGCGAGCAGTGTTCAGTTAGTTGCAATCTGCAACTTCACTGCTAGATGCCGCTCAATCCCACCCACTGGCACGAATGCTTGCTAACATTATTTAACTGAAGATGTGATTGTGACTCTCAGGAACAACTTCTCTCCAGCTGTAATGCTGTTAAGCTGTTTGGGGACTGGATGCCGACGTCGTTAGTTAAGTTTGGTTCATTTTTATGTCATAATATTTTGATCATAAAATATATTAAATGTTACACTCACAAGCTTTGTGGTGTTTATGAATGATTTTAAAACTCTCTGAACTATTAAACCCCTTTAAGTTTATAAAATTTAACCCATATTTTCTGTTGTTATATTGTGCTTGTATTCACTGTTAGGTATAGTTAACACACACTAATAAAGCCTGTTTGAAGCTTTATAAAGTTGTTTTAAAGTGACTATAAGTATATAAAACAGTATATGTAAATTACTTCAGCTCACTAACATTAGCTTTAAGATATAACTAACAGTTGATGTAGATTAGCTAATTGGCTGACTGGCAAACTAACAATCGGTAAGGATTAACTAGCAAGTAAATTAATGTTTTGCTAAATGAAGATTGTGGTTGTCTTTTTAACACAGATTAGCCTAGCACGTAGCATATCTAAGTCCAGCAAAGGAGGAAGTTGTTCAACTGTTATTGGGGCTTAGGAAGGGTCAGCTACATACAGTGTATATATTATATATATATATATATATATATATATATATATATATATTATTTGGTTACAAACACGTTTCCCAGGCAGACACAAACACACACAGACAGGTGACAAGTTAATTCTCCTTTAATAGTTCACAAAAAAGATTTGCTAAAATAATCTGAGGTTAACAAACAAGTGTTGATTATTAACATTCATTTAAAAGCCTTTTTCTCTTTTTAAATAACCATGAAGAGGATGTTTTCTGTGCTCTTCCTCCAACCTCACGCAAAGAACAAACAAACAGTTCAAATAAGCGGCGCTCCTTCACCCTGGAAACAAATTAAAACCAGTCGTAATGCTACAAGATAAAGAGATGAATAAAAAGGAACAGAGAGGATTATTTTCTGCTTCTGTAGGTTAGTGTTATAATTAAAACTAGCTCAGACAAACAAACACGTGGTTATGAAACTGATTAATAAAGCTCGTCCTGTATATAAAATCACTGGAGGTTTCGAAAGCGATCAGGTTTTAAATGGAAACCCCACAGAGCGGATTCTGTCGTTCGGAGAGTCTCTAGTGCTCGTTTTCAACTTCATGTCCGCTCTGAAACGTCTCACGTCAAAAAAAACAAAAAACATCTGGAGACGAAATGCAAAAAGTTGCTCCAAGATGGCGGCGCGTTCCCGGCGGGCAGCCGTAAAAGTATAAAAAATAAAAATGAAAAATAAACCCGTCCTAAAACTCTTCTGCATGGCAGACAGTGCGGTCGCTGCTCACAGTCCTAAAATATGAAGTAAAAGAACCACAGGAGTTCTGGAGCCGGCCCAACCTCCTGCACACCTCAGATCAGAACGCTGGACACCGGGACTCTGGTGGAGCGGCCGCTCTTTGGGACGACGATCGGCTCGTCATCTGTTAACAGAAACAACGAGAAGGTCAGCGCTGACGTTACTGAACTCTTTACTCCACTTTGTAAAGATTTCTATGAACCAGAACTGTTTTCTGTTAGTGTGGGTCGGTCTCATCATTAGCATTAATAATCTGCCATATGGACAGTATCAGAGGGTTTCAGGGGTTCTTTTCAAAATGACTAAAAGTGGCCAAATTTCAACTCCCAGTCGTCTCATTTTAAATACTTTTGAGGTTATTTATGATAAATACATTGGACCTGCATTGGTGTGAATGTTCAGATGTAATATTACTTCTGATTTCTTGTGCTTTTTATTTATTTATTTGTATTAATTATATAAATAACCTCNNGTCAGGTTGCAGATTAATTTAAAAAGATAAATTATTGAGGAATAAATAAAAGTTAAACTAATTAAAATGTCCCACCGACTGTATAATGATCACAAACATTAACGACATCACGCTGACGAATACAGAAACAATCTAAAGTTCTCAATCAGTACTTTGTTTAGTGTCGCTGCTGTCGGTCAGCGCTGCTGCAGGTGTGAGTGGCGTGGTCCGCCTCACCTGTGGTGACGTAGTTCTCGGCGCGGTGGCGGTCTTTTTCGATGAAGAGGGCGGTGGCGAGGAAGAATCCTCCGCCCACCACGGCCACGAAGGAGCAGAGCAGCAGAGAGAGCTGCAGGGAGCGAAACTGCCAGAGGAACGAGTCCGTCTTCCTCAGAGAGTCCGAGACCTGAGACACACACACACACAC